CAGTTTTTTCATTAGATACTTTTCTCAATTTTTTTAATGCAAAAACAAAACGGTTGATTCGGGTACAAACTGCTTTTATATGGGCTTTCCAATTACATTGGGAGTCGAGTATCAAACCCAAGAATTTAGCCTCAGTCACCTCCACAATACTTTCACCATTACAACGTATATCTAATGGTTTTCGTTTGTTTTTATAATTTGAAAACTGTACTAATTTTGTTTTTAATATATTTACTTTCAAACAATTTTGATCGAGCCATTGAGTCACGGATTTTATTGTTTCATCTAAAATAGCTTGATATTTTGTATTTTTGTCTGTGTCTGGGATCACGACCGAAATGTCATCAGCAAAGAGGATACAAGGTTGTTTCGTTACTTTTGGGATATCATTTATATATATAAGGAACAAAAGGGGTCCCAGTATACTTCCTTGCGGCACGCCAGCTTTATTTGTTTGATATGTCGACCTAAAGGAATTCTGTATATATTTTTCATCAATTCTCATGATCTCAACACATTGTGTGCGATTTGTCAAGTAACTAGAGATCCAATTTAGTGTATTTCCCCTTATACCATAGCGTTCACATTTATTTATCAACACTTGATGGTTAACCAGATCAAATGCCTTACTCATATCAAAAAATATTGCCGAGACACGCTCTTTATTATTTATAGAATTCAGAATATTGTTCAGTAGTTTGTAAACAGCAAGTATGGTTGATTTCTGTTTTTGAAAGCCATTCTGCTCCTCTACTATAACATTAAATTTGCCAAAAAAATTCACCAAACGAGAATGCAATAATTTCTCAAATACTTTTGAAAATATCGGAACAAGAGTGATGGGTCTATAACTAGATAGATCTTGTTTGCTGCCTTTTTTATGAAGTGGTTTTACTATGGAAATTTTGAGTTTTTCTGGGAAAACTCCTTGTTCAAAAGACAAATTAACTAAATGGGATAGAACATTAGCAAGTTCATTTGCACACTCTTTTATCACATATGTATAAACGCCGTCATAGCCAACTGCATTCGTATTATTAAGTGTTTTGATTGTTTTGAAAACTTCATCAGGCGATGTTGGCGTTAAGAATAAGCTTGCATCTACAGGTTTTATCAAAGCATAATTAGGATTCATTAGTGTTTCAGTTTTCGAAGACGAGATAAAAAAAGAATTAAATGCATTTGCCACCTCAACAGCCCCAGTTAAAACAGAGTCATCGAAACAGATAGATTGTATGTATTGATAACTTGGTGATGTGTCTCTTTTATCTCCTATTATATCCCAAGTGGCCTTACCTTTATTTTTTGCTTTGAATATAAATTTATTATTTATGTTTTTCTTTGACTGAATCACACATTTCCTTAATATCTTGTCATAATTTCTATATTTTAACTTGTTTTCAATAGAATTAATTTTGTAGCAATTGAACCTGTATTTTCTTTTGGTAAATGTAGATGTTTTAATACCCTTTGTAATCCATCTAGGCGCCCTTGTATAATAATTAACTCTAATTTTATTAATTGGGAAGCAAAGATCATAAAATAATAAAAAATGTTCATAAAATATGTCAAAAGCCATTTCACTATTCGATTCATTAAATATATTAACCCAGGATAGGGCAGTCAAACAATCTTTAAATTTACTGATATTGTCTTTGTTAAAATCTCTTCTCATCGCATAGCAATAGTTGTGCTTTTGTTCAATGTTTTTTACTGGAAAAGTCAAGCTTTGAGCCGTCTCATGATCAGATAAATAGATATGGTGTGTTAGGCCTTTCGCGTTTTTTATATTACTTACAATGTGATCCAAACATGAGTTCCGCCTTGTTGGTTCATTAATATGAGAATATAAATTATGATTTAATAGAATTGCATTATAATTTTCACATGTCAAATTATTTTTTAAAATGTCAATATTGATATCACCTGTCACTATAATTCTTCTTTTTTTTGTTATCAATTTGTGTAAAATTAATTCTAACTTATTAAAAAAAATTAAAACATTTGACTTTGGGATCCTATAAATACATATAATGAAACATTGCAACTTCGGTATATCAACACCACAACATTCAAATGAAGTTTCGATTGATATTTTATTACAAAGCTCGATAGGATAAAAATCTATACCTTTTTTAACTAATATACACACACCGCCTCGTTTTTCGTTCAACCTTGAGAAGCTGCTCGCTAATGTATAGTTATTTAAGTAAATATTCGGTTCATCTCCCGACTTAACAAATGTTTCGGAAAAACAGATAACATTTGGTAACATATTTTTTTTACATAACTCATTGACACAAATCTCGACTTGGTCCAATTTATTTAATAATCCAGCAATATTTTGGTGAAGCAATATGGCGGTTTCGGACGCTAGTACAAAAGGTTTATTTGTATTGTTATTGTCGAAAAAAAATACCAGAGTTATCCGTAATTATAACCGAATCAGATCTGTGAATTGTTTTAAAATAAAAGGGTATAGTTCCCTTCTTAGGGGGAAGTTTATGTTTATAAATATTATTAAAAATACCAGAGTTATTTGCAGTTATAACCGAATCAGATCCGTGATTTTTTTTAAAATAAAAGGGAATAGTTCCCTTCTTAGGGGGAAGTTTATGTTTATGAATATTATTTATCCGGTTACAATTATTCTTTACAATGTTTTTAATGCACTTCGGTATATATATCCTATCATAATAAAGTGAATCAATTTTAATATTTATTTTTTGGCATAAATGATGAAGGTTGAAACGGTGATAATAATTTCCACTGTTCATATCATCACTGACTTGTATAAAATTGCAGTTTTTAAAGTTATAACATATATTTTTTACAATGTGATTCAACATAGATTCTTTTAGAGTTTTGTTACGTATTACACTCAATATAATAACATTTAATTTATGTATACTTTTTAAAGCAGCAGATAGTTCTATAAAAGTAATATTTGGATTAGTGTCGTTTCGCCTATGGAGATGATCAGGAAATCATCAGCACAATCCACTAGTTTATTACAGTTCTTCAGTATTTCTCCGCTTGTTGCGTAGGGTTTCGTAATCGAATATATTTCATATTGTTCAAAAGTTGTATTTTGTCTTGATTTAATAAGCATGGAAGCTAATCCTCGGCATAATTGGCCCCCTAATATTGTGATTTTATGTTTGTGGCGCTTAACAGAATAACAAGTAGCTCCATCTAGCGACACTCTGGCGATTTGATTGCTTTCTATATTTGATTCTGAGTTAAAGTCCTGACTGTGCATCATAGGTGATTTAGTTGGTGTGCTTTGTGGGACGGCTGCATTATTGTTTGACATTCTATGTAGGTTATGTTTAGTGAGGTTTAATTTTTCCATTTGTATTTTTTTCTGTGAAGTTATATGGATATCATTTATTTGTTCTGTGCACATATCTGTAGGTTGTTTAAAGATATATTGGTGTTCATATACTATTTTTTTGAGTTCGATATTTTCTAATGAAATTTTTTCTATTTCCAAGTGAGCGACTTGAAGTTTAGTTCTCAGTTCTTTAATTTCTGTCTTTAACTCATCAATTTCTTCCGTGTTTATATGACCCGATGATAAATCCGGCAAACTTTTCGATTGATAGTCTGAGCCGGTGGATAAAAATGATGTGTTTAAAAATGATGTGTTCAGTGATTCGTTTACGACGGCTTTATTCCGCCGTACTGTGATATTTTGATCTTCCATATTGATGTACTGAGTCATAAAATAACAGTAAGTAATTGTTTCAGCCGTATAAGTATGTTTTATATTTTATTGTTATTCATCAAGTGACAATCGCTGCAGAGTATAATAGCGACATCTAGTTTTGAAATAAATGAACTGGTTGACATCTAAAATTTTCAAATTGTGCAACGAAATATCAAATGTAATATTCTATTTGTTATGTTTTAAAACTTCTGTTCGAATATCACATGCGGTAATGTCTCTTCGTAACGTAATAATAACAGATCGTGGATTCATTCCCTAGTTAATAAATCGATGAAATTACTCACAGATTGTTAGGTATGTTTTCTCATTAATATTTTTACAATCCTTTGTCCATTTGCACTGCCAACACAAATCCCTGTCCTTAGGGCTTAGCACAACGATTTGCACACTGTTTAACAATTTTTTTTGAGTTTTAAATATTAAAAAAAGATAAAAATTCATATAATCGACCGTTCAATCATGATGTGGTCAATAGACATTAAAACATTTCATGAAATGCGACCATTTCATGAAATTATCGAGCATTTTATGAAATGAGCAAATCTACGATATGGCCACGACATATATATATACTTACATACATTATTTGATATATATATATTTTACTTTTATGCCAAATCTATAAGCGAAGACCTGTAATTGGCTATCTGTTTTTGGAATGAAATTTTAATTTGTATATTTTAATTAGTGCTTTATAAAAGCTTTTGTAATCGTTTAAACTGTATCTGTAAAATAAACTTTATCTATGAGTAATATATAAACTTTTATAGAAACGATGATGATACGATGATCGAAAATATATTATCTAGTTGGCGTATTATATTGTGAGTAAATTAATGAACACATAAAATATTGAACTCAAATATAAAAATACAATTTATATATATTTTTTAAGTGTTTTGAGTCCATATTCTCTTAGATAATTGTAAATTTTAAATACTCATTTGAACTATATGGTACCTTATTATCTTTACCTTTATTTAGTAAACACACATCTGCTCTGTTCTTGAGGAACCCGGACTTGATAATAATAATTAATGTGGGTTAATAGGATATGATTTACCGGTTCGTACCCCCATCTCAATAGAAAATAATAGGGTTTTTAGGCCTCAGGGGATTTAGTGATTCTGATCAAACATAACTTTGTCACTCGTTACAGATATGTATGGCAAAATTTTTTTCGCTCCAACCCTTTACTTAATGCGTTAATGTAAAAAGGTTAGATGCCAACAATTTTATTTGATATGTCATTATTATTATTTTCCAGATCCAAGAACAGAGAAATGGCTGCTAATGTCTGGTCCTGGTCCTTTGCTTACCATCCTGGCGACGTACCTCTACTTCTGCACCTCTGTCGGCCCCCGCTACATGAGGGACCGGAAGCCGTACAACTTGAAGAACTCTATGACCATCTATAATATCTCACAGGTCTTAATGAGCATCTTCCTCGTTTACGAAGTGAGTACCATAAATTTTGTAAATATAAAGTTATATTATATTAATTAACGAAGCGCCGAAAGTGATCAAAAAGATGTCAACCAAAGTTGCCTAGAATAGCTCGGTGGCGTAGTGGATAAGGGCCGTGGCCCGCAATAGTTGTTGCCAAGCAACGCATTGGTTCAAAATATTATTCTCTCTAATCCACACTTGATCAGCATGAAACTCGAATGATGGGTTGTGGCCTGTCCTCCTCAACCGGAAGACCTGAGCTTTTGCAATAGTGACGTAAAAAGGCTGATAATCATGAACTAAAGTTACATATTTATACTTATATAAGTACCTACAAAAAGTGATGAAAATATTTTGGTATTATATTTCTCGACAACACAACTTGTTTCGGATCTATTGACTCGATATGATACAGTCGAATAGTGTTGTATCGAGTCGAAACAATACATATCGATTTATTAGTAGATTTAATATCAAGATATTTTTATCAATTTGCGTGCTTGGATATAAAATAGGAATAGCTAGGTGGTGTAGTGGATAAGCGCCGCGGCCCGCGATCGTAGTCGTTAAGCAACTTTCGCAAGGGTCGGCCACGGGATGGGTGACCAAAAATATATTATCTCGAGCTACTCCGTTCTTCGGAAGGCACGTTAAGTCATTGGTCTCGGCTGTATTTGCAGTCGTTAATACCCTCCAATCCGTATTGGGCCAGCGTGGCGGGTCATGGCCCATCCTCCTTAACTATCCATAAGGAAGGCCTGAGCCCCTGCAGTGGGGACGTAAAAGAGCCGGTGATGATGATGATGATTATGATGATGGCGTGCTTGGATTAAGCTTGAAATTATTACATGCGCGTCAGAAATAGCTGAGATTTGTCTAATATGGTAATTTATATCTTGGGCATTTCGATAATCATAAACTTTTGTATTCTTGTCTAATTAAACGAATAGATGACTTTAAACTGGAGATCATTATCCCTCTTATTACATGTTTAGAGTATTTATAATAGATGTTTGAATTAGAGAAATGTTTCATAATAATAACTGTAGTTATTATGGAATTAGAGTTAACTAATTTAATGAAAAAATTGTGTAGTATAAATATTATACCATTCTGGAACAGATTCAGAATAAAGTAAATAACGCCAGTAAAAGAACCTTGAATTAATATGTCAAGATCGAGATGTCACCAGCTCGATAATGCTGTAACAGATCATCAAGGTCAGTTATAGTAGAGTACAATCATAGAAGTACTCGTATATTTCAGGTCTTGTACAACAAGCCTTCAATGTGGGTCCGTTGTTTTGATTATGATCTAATTTTGATATTCAATGGACATACTCGTATTTATTTTATTACTTACTAGCTGTTTTCCCGCGTCTTCGCACGTGTAAATGATAGCCTATGTCAATCTATAGACGTTTTAAAATCGGTCCAGCAGCTTTAGAGCCTGTTCTATGCAAACAAACAAACATACAAACAAACGATCGAATGTTCCCTATGATTTTAGTACATTAAAATGTTTAATGTAATTGTAAGTTACATTAAATGTAAACTGTAGTACATAGTCATTCATTACAACGCTTAGTCTTAATAATAAATTATTTTATTGACTTTACAATTAATAACTAGATGTTTCATTGGATTCGAGAATTTGTTACTTTGAAAAGATTAACTATTTCCTTTATGAATTCATACGATTGGACTTCCCAAGCAACAGCTTTGTAAATATTACATCAGCTCTTAAATAGACTTGGTCTTGCTAACGGTATACAATTTATCCGCAAACCTAGGAAATACTTTTATCCTTTTTTTCAATTTAATTACGACATGGTTAGAGCAACGGTTATATAACACAAGAATATGACGAGATAACTATATGATAATAGAACGACAGAAATATATTGATCTTGTAATTACCAACTTTAGATTTAGCGTACAAATATAACACGTTATATTTTTTGTCGTGATTCCATATTTAAAAACAAAGACAAGCGAAGAATGAGATCGATTGTTTTAGGAATTTATATAATTTTAATTTTATGTTATACTGCAGTCGTACCTCACGTAAATAAAAAGTTAGTTCGGCGATTGCATATTATTAATTAGCCATTATGATCTAGTACTATAACAATAAATATTTAAAATAATATTTTAATAAATCATCATCATCAGCCCATATTCGTCCACTGCTGGACAGTTGCCTCCCTAATTAATACTTCGATCCGCGGCTGTTCGCATCCAGCTCCTGCCAGCCATCAAAAAGCTGTTTCAAAAGCTGTTTAAGCATGTATGTACATGCTTAAAACGGTCAATGTCGCTTAAAGAATTATATAATATCAGACAACATCACATATATTGCTCGGATATTTAGATGAGTAAGTAAAGCATTATGGACTGTCTTGATCAGCGGAGGTGCCAAAACACCCAAACCCGACACAATATATAAAAATTATTTTCTACGTTGAACCGGCCGGGAATCGAACCCGGTACGTGCGAGCTACTCAACTTCGGACGTCGATTTATGATAATGAATGTAAACATTATTTTTCTGCATTCTATGAAAATAAATAGCAGAACATAATTAAAACTATACAAAGAAAATAATGCGGTTTCTGAGATGGTAATAAATACTGAAAAATTCACAAGTCTCGTATTCACTAGTCTTAGTCTGTGAACATAAAACCTGCAATGGATCCGAGAAGTCTAGAAAATGTAATTTAAAAAACACACGCGATAAAGCCTTTCGAAAAATAGTGTTATTCGATAATTGAAAGAATTTAGTTTCATGATTTTGAAAACTCTATAAGTTGAGATGTTAATTCTTATAATTTGTATAAATATCTAGTGTACCTCATAAGTCGTCCAATCCAATGACGCATACCGATGTTTACAGTGATTCAGCGAGTTAATTTTCTGGAAATGTAAAAAATTGTGACCTACGTAACACGATTGACATCTTAAGCATCTGTCTTTAATGAAAAATGCTTAATAATCCACCGACTCCAGGCAAACGGAGATGGGTTTTTTGTAAAATTAAAAATATTTATCAGTGTTACGTTATGTATGCAAAATTGATCAAATAATCTTTAACTTATTATAAGTTAGTTACAATTTGTTTGAAATCATTTTGTTTGTTCACAGGGATTGGTTTCGGGATGGTGGAATGACTACGAATTTTCTTGCCAACCAGTTGATTACTCCGATAATCCAAAAGCCATAAGGGTACGTCTCAAAGTCTTGTTTGTAAATTGTCATTGTTAAAAATCTTAGAAATTATTAAAGTATTTTGCAACGTTTTTATCGTTATATTAATTGAACATAATAGAATAGAAGAGGTACTTTAAGTAAAAAGTTTTCTTTTTATCTATATCATCACGCTGTACTTCTGGTAGGGTAGGCAGAGAGGATCAAACGCCACAATGTATGGTCCGCGCATACATCTTTCGCCTCATCCACTTTCATAAATCTTTAAAATTTAAAAAAAAAAATTTAATCTATACCTTATTACGATTCCGAATTGGTCGAAAACGTGACCCAACTGAAGAAATAGTTAACAGTGTTAATTATGATAGAATTTTACGATATTATAAATACGGGTTATCCCTATTTTTATTACCTACTAAAATGTAATGAGAAGGAAGCTATAGTTTTTTTATTTCTATAGTAGAATTTTAACATAAAAAATGAATGCAGAATCGGAATGTTCGGATGTATAAGATATGTCATCGTCGACATACCCACTGTATTTATTATTTTACTACTACTAGTAACCACAATTTTGTAAAAGATGTTAATTGTTTTTCTCATTAGTATGCGCAACATGGTGAAAATAATTAGATTATTGCGCTCCTTTAGAGCTCCTTTGGTTTATTGCTTTTTTCTTTGAAAGCGAGTAAATAATTTTAAATTAGAATATATTAAGAAAAGTAAAAAGAATTAGATGTATTAAATGCTTTTTATACCGTGAAAGTTTCTTAATGTAATTCTTTTCTTATAACACAAGTAATTAAGCTTGTATTATTTGGATTCGTGCAAACATTATGTATATTATACTATATTTTAGCCTAAATACACAAATACTATACAATCGGCTAATAATCCTACAATTAAAGCTCATTTGAACATCACTAAACAATAATTGTCTTTAACGTCAGACATAAAAATAATAGTCAGGAACTCAGGATGAGCATAGTAATTTTTGCCAACATATTAGATCACTATGTTTTCCAAAAAAGTACCAGATCTTGGTTTATAATAGAAATCGTTTATCGTTCTAAGTACCTATGAAAATAGTTCAATTAGTATAAATTTCTGTTATAGATGGCGAGTGCTGTCTGGTGGTACTTCATGGCAAAAGTGATCGAGCTATTGGACACTATATTCTTTGTTCTCCGCAAGAAGAATAGACAAATCTCCTTCCTCCATCTTTACCACCACTTTATGATGCCTATATGCGCTTGGATTGGAGTTAAATTCTTGCCAGGTAATTATGAAACTAAAGACGGGCTTGAGTGTGCGCAAAGAATATTGGCCTGAATTATAAATTTCCAAGCACAACCTTTTAGGTCTTAATTTGTACTATATATAAAACAGTTAGTAATCAGATTTTCAAATTTGTGAAAAACCAAGTCCCAGTAATCAGATTTTCAAATTTGTGAAAATCGTGTTCTTTTATTTACCTTTGTTTATATTACATACCTAATGCAATATTTATTAAAAACCAATATATTTATCATCATTTTTTATCTTAAATTACTTATCTTTAATATTTACAGGTGGTCATGGGACTCTTCTCGGCGTGATCAATTCTTTTATCCACGTTATCATGTACACTTACTACCTCATCTCTGGACTAGGACCCCAGTATCAAAAGTTTCTGTGGTGGAAACAGCACTTGACTTCATTGCAACTGGTGAATATATTCATTTTAATCAGGCATTACTTTGTGCATCATTCCATAATTTCCGAAAATGAAGAGAAATATATTGCTACTTAAAAAAATATAAAAAATGTATACGTAGAAATAGGTAGAAAGTAATCTTTGAAGCGCAAAACACAAAAACTATAAACCAATTTTACCATACACTATCTCTTATTGTGATTGTAAATTCATTAGATGTCCTGCTTCTTCATCTTTAAACCTTTTTTATTTTATTATTTTCAGGTACAATTTTGTATCATATTCTACCACAACACTCAAGTAATGTTCGGCAACTGCAAGTACCCAAGAGGCATCAACTTCCTCCTGGCTTTTAACGCTGGTCTCTTCATTTACATGTTCGGCAAGTTCTACATCAGGAACTACCTCCAAACTCCAAATAGAGGAAACAATCAACCAAAGGAAGTCACAGCCAACGAAAAAGCGAAGGACTGCTAGCAAAAAGACTTAACTTATTTTAATTTTAATCATAAGCTTTATATTTAAGTCTAATCGTAAATGTAAAACTTTGTGATAATTGTTGTCGTCGTTACAACATTGGTAGATACATAAGATCTGGTACTAAGTTTAAATGTTTCTTGATAACCATCAGCTCGAATGTCAGTATAATATTATATGCTCACTATAATGTGTCTATTGAAACCATTAATAAATATGGAAATAAGTTTGACGCATTTAAAATATAGCATTGCCTCCATCAAAACATATCTCAGCATTATAGGAGTGGAAGACTTTAATGCAATAAAATATGATAACATTTAGGAAAATTATTGTAGGTATCTAACAATCATGGAGTGCTCAAAGTGGCCAGTTAGTACTTAATTGAGTTAATTATAGTAGCGTTAATGGCGTAAGGATACATTCAACTCAATCCATGGCAATTGCAGTCGAATAGGTAGATATGAGGATGTCAATGCGATTTAAAATTTATGATTTCAATCTTCTTCGAATTTAGTAAAGGCATTGACCTCGAATTAATCTTCTCACCGATCTGCGCTGGTGTCGCGTGGTGGACCAATGGACTGAGGGCCCTATTTGTTTACTACCATAGGGATGTACTGTGTCCCAGCAGTGGCCACAGTGAAAAGGCTCATGATAGTACCAATCACCACACATAAATCAGAAGCTATCGATGCCGTCATCATTCAAAGGGATTTTAACTACAACTTTAACAGTTTTAGAAAACTGTTTTAGCGTTTGTTTCAATTTTGCTTTTTATGGGATATATAAAAAGTAAAAATTAAGTATGGTTTATTAGACTTTCTTAAATACATTCAGGGCTTCTTTCAGGTACCAATAGGAATGGTAATTATGAAGGAAATCAAACTTCTATACGTTTTAGACTCAGGAATCAATTGCATAGTTAGTGTCCAGATCTAAAGCAAATAGTCCTGCTGTCTCTTACTTTTATTAAAAGGTGATGAGACGAGATAGGCCTTTCATTTGTTGTCGATAAATTACAAAACTTTAATGCTATAACAGGATAAGGAAATAATGTAATAAATAGTAGAAGTATAGTAGTAAAAAGAAATTAAAACAATAATAAAAATTGTTTAACTCTGATTGCGCAAATGTTAACAATATCATGGTTTTGGAAATTTATGTTTAATTATTGTACGTTTTGAATTTAGCTATTATAGAATACTTATGTGCCATCATGGAAAAAAATAACACAATAAAAAACTCTGTAGTTACCAAAAGATATTATTTATTCATAATTATAAAACACATTCCTATGAGAACACCAATTTGAAAATTTGCTTAAACATAGTAATTAATTTTGTTAAATTGTTGAATTGTAATTTATTCAACTAAGAAGAAATAAGATTAATGGATAAATATTATTTTTAAAAGAATGTTTTTGTTTGGACAAATTTATTATACGAACCACGTCCACCTCAAATATTACCTACTTATGACAACTTTCCACTAGTTTCTTATGATCAATTTTAACGAAATTTTATATAATAACACAATTATAATGTAAATTAATATTGAAAGTATATAGTTTTGGATATTTGTTACTTTTATTATAGACATAACATGGAGTACGAAATATTAAAATTATATAATTTTAAACATGATTATTTATAAATTTTGCAATTTCTATGAAGCATATTAAAAATATTGCAAAACATATCGCACATTATCATCAACACCATATTATATCAAAAATATTTGAGTTTACTCTACGAGTTGCTAAAACGAGATTTATTTCTATTAGCCAATATGCCACGCTCTCTACCCTCCCCCCTGTACCCCAAATTCAAAATACAAAATTTAAAATGAAGCAACAAGTTTGTCGACAAAGAGGTTGATTGTGCCGTTGCTTATGTTACTTAGTATTTCATCTTTTTATATAATAAATAAAAAATAATTGTTGTTATAAAATATTTAGGATGTGACTAATTATGGTAGGGCAGTCTCGAGTGCAGCGACCTAGACGTAATGCTGCGCGGGCTAGATGTAACTCATGCTTTAGTTTTGACAACAGCTGCATAGTTATTTTCATCGCTCCTGTATGTTATTAAATAATACTGACAGTAAAATAACTCATTCAATAATCAGAAATAAAGCTCAATTTTACTTTCAACCTCTTTATTTACGAATGCTATTTTTTTGTTAATACTATGTTGGTTGACATGATTCACACTCCCGGTGCGACACCGTCACTTATGCAAAAAATTAGTTTTTCAGGAGAAGAGTTTTAAACTCTGACACCTCACAAAAAAATAACTTTAGAATCTTCTAATCTATAGATGAGATGAATTATACGGAAAATATGCGTACTACAAAAGTAACATTATCGCACCAAGTAAAGGGGTGCCTTAGCACAATTATTATATATTTAACTAATTTTTGTATTTTTTGCAAAATTGACAGTGTCGCACCGGGGTGCGAATACGAAATGATTCTATAATGTCGGAATACTCGAAATTGTTCTTCATATTTAGTACTTATTTAGGTACTTGAAGAAATAATTCAATCAGACGTTGTTAATATAAATAAATACATACAAAATGACAAGTATCAGTAATAAATTTTTAACTTTGATTAGTTTTTATAATTTGGACAAATGTGTCAGTTTTGTATATCTTGATGTGCTGTAGATTGTACAAAACATTTAGAAAATGAATAGAGATAATTATTATTGTATCAAAATTTCTATAACGTTTTATCTGAATAAAATATGAGTATTTTTTAAATTATGTTTTTAATTTTTTTAATAATGTATTATGACTGACTAGAACCATAATTTCAATAATTTACTTTTCCCTTTCATTAGATCCTTAAATATTTAAATATTCTAAAACGATGATATCGTTAGTATAGTAAAGCACCCAATACTCCAAAATCTTTTTTTCACTTAAACCAACTAATTGTAAGTTTGGGAGTTATGTCTATGAAAAAACTAATGCCAATTTAAAATTTTAGTACGTTAATTACATTAGTATTTTAGGACCATGAATTTAATTTAAATATACGTAAATAATAATTTCTTATCTGTGTTGTTAAAAAATACTCAAAACAAAACAACCAACAGCCTCTGGTGCTCAAGATGGACCATTTAATTTTAAGACAAATTCAATACTACAAACTACGCAAATGGTGTGGAACAAATAATGCTTGTTTATTATACTTTATAAATAATTATGAATAGAAGAAAATACAAACGCGATGAAGCCGTTTAACAGTTGTTTCATTCAATCAAACGCCTCAATAATATTCAAAATTTACGGCCAAATTATACAGTTTGGCGACTAGTCTGCCAACATCTTAACACTGCAACACACTTACGCAATAATAAGTAAGTGTAATTAAAATTTTAGACTCAGATAAATAATTGATTATTTTTAAATATCAGTTATAAGTCACTTTATAGTTTCTCTGTGTATTAACAAAGCCATTGTCGATGCATTGGAAATAAAAGAAAAGAATAACAATGACGATGCTTTGTTAGTAATTAATATATTTAAATATATGATAGTTCTTTATAAAGTATGGCCAAGATCAATATGCTCGACCCTAACTAACTTAGTTCAATCATAGTAATCGAATTGATAAGTTGTATTGAAGAAAATACAGAAGTAAAGCAGTAACTGAATAGAAAGTATACTTATAATATTTTCGTATAATCTAAAAAATGGCGGCTATTATACATAAATTATGGCAAGGTTATCAAATTGTATTTGAGGATTGGCCCGGTGAGTACATTTATTAATCACAGGTCTTCTTTTTTAGGATTCAATCCATAACCATATTAATCGTAAATTAATAATTCAAAGTAAGTTTCGATGTTTTGAGACTAAAATAACATTAACTGAGACCAAGAAACGGATGATAATATTAAATAATAATATATTGTTACAATTAAGAGGCCAAAATTATTTATTATTAGTGAAGGAGTATATGGAAACTGACTTATAATAAGTTTTTAACACCGAGTCACTTTCTGATTAGAAAATATATATAAAGATTTGGCGCCACTATTTTTTCTAAGTTCGTTGATAACTTGAATAGCGTTTGTGGCCAAGACTATGTAGATGTACGTTTCATACACAATACATCTTATTATTAAACGAGTACTAACTTTTGTTTTCGACCAAAATCAGTCAATTTGCTTTAGGTGGTCAATTGAGAGAGAGTTCCAAGTACTAACTTAAGTTCTCGTTTTATAAATTAGACGGATATGACGCAATGAGGGTTAAAGAAGTATATTTTAAATGAAAATGAAGTTGTAATAGTGTATGAGCTTGGGCACAGTTAGTATAAGAAAAAGAAAGGAATCATGGTAATTTGAAATGACCACAACACCCAGACCGGAGACCATATAGAAACGTTCGTTTTTTAAATTGATCCGACCAGGAATGGAACCCTCGGGACCTTGGAGGTGACAAGTTAAACTGCCATGTAATCTCTCGGTCTCTCGGTCTTGAATGTCGCCAAATGTCTCTCTTTTAAGATTAAGAAAATGCCTCTACTGTGGTATTAATATTATAAATATTTACTGTCATCATTAAAAAGCTGCTCAATTGACAATATAGTATATAGAAATTTAGGGCTAGCGAATCATTGCTGGAAAATCCACCAAGCGTATCAATGGAAATAGTTTGTATCCTTGACGGACTGAAGAAGCATCAGTTAAGAGTGCCAAGTTTAATTTCTTGTTAGTTCTGTTGTTACACGCTTGATGATACGCGATGTATTTTTCGTCAGCTCCAATCTGTATAGTGGAAATGTGTGAAACCCCATGCGCAGCGGCACGCGGCACGAAAAGTCGCGAACTAGATACAACTACCGCTTTATATTAGTTCCAGTATTCTAACTTCAAGTCTAATTTGTACAACAGAATAACCTAAACTAAATTCCCAACTGTGTTATTTCCATTTTCAGACCCTAGAACAAAATCGTGGCCTCTTGTCGCAAAACCTTACCAAGGGTTACTATTACTTGGGCTCTATCTTATGTTCGTTCTGAAATGGGGCCCCAAATGGATGAAAGATCGACCACCTTTCAACCTTAATAAATTATTAATAGCGTACAACGCGTTACAAGTTGTATTCTGTGTATATCTATTTAGTTCGGTGAGTGAACTTATTTGAATGAACAAAGTATCTATATGATTGAGATCTTAATTATATAAACTATTCTGAATAAGTTTAAATATTTCTCGAACCAATCATTTAATTAATTTCATAATATAAATTAATAATGATACAAATACACTCACAGGCACAATTAACCGCCCACTTTTTCTGTGAATTTAAAGAAATACAATTCTTTAAATTCACAGAAATCGCCAAACTTAGACAATATTTTATGAATAGAATGTTAAAACTATACTCAAAGAAAAAGAAACATCAAAATTATTGAAAACAAATGTCTTTTATTTAAAGATGTTTGCCAAAAATCGATTTTTTTAATATCTTCAATGAAAATTTTAAAATTTTGGTTTTGAATATAATGGGGCTATTTAAAAAAAAGTTGAAGAAAGTTGTGTTGCTACCTCTGGCACTTATGACTTCTTGGAGCTAGTTTGTGAATCTGTTCATGATGTCTTGAATATCTGATTTGGCGATATTGGGCCACTCCTCTACTGCAGCCGTTTTTAGCTCTTCTGTAGTTGTAGGGACTACTACTCTTACTCGGACACGTCTTTTAAGGTTGTCCCAAACGTACTCCTGACCTTAAAACTTGAATCTTGAATCCTGACCTCATTAAGGCAGACATGGTCTTGAAGAACTTTTTCCACGTGCTTTTTTCTTCCACATACCTTTGAGCGTTTACAATTCCTCTGTCGAATACAACAAGATCGGTACGAGCCTCATAAGGGATACCTCCCGATACCATTACAGACCCTACCTGGTAACCTACTGTTTCAGTTATAGCGAGATCGGAACTGCCTGCGGGCCATGGTAAAACTTGAATCCCTACCTCATTAAGGCAGACATGGTCTTGAAGAACTTCTTCCACGTACCTTTGAGCGTTTACACTTCTTCTGTCGAATACAACAAGATCGGTACGAGCCTCATATTCTCATATTCTCGCGCAAAATCAAGTCTAGCTCTGCGGTGTTGCGGGTGCAGTTGTGAAGCGCGAGCTGGATGAAAAGCCCTCAAACACTTTCTGCTAGTCTTCTTCTAATGGTACCTTCACTGACATGTCTCACCTCAAAAAGACGCGTACGAGCTTCAGTAGCGGTCGAAAAGCGATTTCTCAACACATTGGTGATAACGAAAAAGTCATCTCCGGTCGAAGTGCATCGATGTCGGCCTTGATCCGGCCTGCAGGTGTATAAGCTTGTTTCCCGAAATCGTCTGATGGTATCTCGTACCGTAGTTTGAAGTACACAAAGTGTGCGAGCTATGCGACGCTGTGTATACCCCGCTTGATCACAAACAATGAGAATAACAATATTCGCCCAAAATGATAGAAAAAAACAGGGAATGTTAACTCGGTAACACAACAACAATAATGTAAAACAACGACTTAATTCCGAAAACCCTTCGGTAAGACAAATTAAATGTATGAGTGTTTTATTTATTGCTAGAGTACACACTAAACAAAACAATTGATAAGCCGTAGTTGACGGAATCAAATAGAGTGATGAATGATACAGGTGGGTGGTTAATTGGGCATGTGAGTGTATAATATTCTTATTCAAGAATATATGAAAAAAAATACATTATTTGATAGCACATAAAATACACACTTATGTAATACTTCGACAATCTCAAACTAAAGTGATATATTAATAATTATATGCTTAAAATGCAAACAAATTATATGTTTCAAAAATATCAACTTTTCTATATTTCAGGCGATATATTATGCTTGGGGTAACCAATACAAATGGTTATGTGAGCCAGTGGATTTCGAAATTAACGAAACATCCATGAAGATTGCAAAACTAGTGTATCTATACTTTTTATTGAAGGTCCTCGATCTATTTGATACGGTACGGTATTTGTACTGATTGTTACATATCGTTAGACCTCAAATTATCATCAATATAACGAAAATATATACGAACAGGCCATTTAAGGTTCTATTTTGTTATACAGTAAACTGATATCCCTTCTTTTAGATGCGTAATTTTAGCGCTTAAAAGATACGCTTGAAAGACTTAGAGGTATCAGATGAATATTGTATAGTCATTCTTCCGTCAGATATGTGTCAACTCTAAGCATATGACAGCTAGACGTCAATTTGAGTTCACGTGACTGATAAAATACGATTATTTAAATTACCAATAGAACCTACAAAATCAATGATAGGCACAATTATAAAATGCTCATTCAAAATGACAGCTTTATTTTTTAAATAAAAACATCTTTTCAGGTATTTTTCGTGCTTCGGAAAAAATTCAATCAAGTGTCTTTTTTACATGTTTATCACCATACTGGTATGGTTTTGCTTATTTGGGGTGCTGCGACGTATTTACCAGGTAACAATTAATTAAATCAATCCTTAAGAATTTGTGCCAATGGTAAGAAAAAATAGCACTCGATCGATATTTAAGGTAGCAATATCGAAGGTGAAAATTGGCATAATGACTGCACGAGCAGTTGGCATCCACAGAAGAAGAAGTAAATTAATATATATATTTTAATAAGAACAAACAGCATCATTCTGTAATTTTTGCAAGTACTGAATTATTTCCAGTTGTAAACATAGGGTCATATTGGTGAGCAATCTATGTGATGTTGTCTAATTTTTTTGTTTTCTATATAATATTTTTATGACCAATTTTCAATTAAACTAATACAGTTATTATCATTACATGCCAGTCATTGATCATCTTATAGTATACTAGCTTTTGTCCTCAACTTCGTCCATGGATGGTTTTTCAAATGCTGCCCAAAGTAATTATACCACGCGGAAGAATTCGCGAGCAAAAGCTAGTTGGTTGATAAAGCAATCAAAAATAGATATAGAAACGTCACACATTCTGAATTAATGCGGTCTCTTTCGCCCAATATAAATAATACAACTTGTAAAGAAATAGACAAATCACAGAGAGAATGGTACAGCCGAATTGGCACTAGTTACCTACAATCTATGGTTAACACCAATATACTGACCACCGTCTCACCGAGCTCCTCCAGATGATGTTATAAAATAACTAGGGTGTCCAAATGTACAAAAGAATATTATTTCGCGGTACTCCGTGCTTCACATTGGTCTCGGCTGCATTTGTAGTCATTAATACCCTCCAATCCGCATTGGATCAGCGTGGACGGTCATGACCCGTGGGCCATGGCCCATCCTCCTTTAACATCCACAAGGAAAGTCTGAGCCCCTGGAGCGTAGGTATACTATGAGAAACAAAATTTTTTATTCGATTTTTAAGTGTTGTGTTTATGTAATCGTGTTGTCTTGTCTAATCCCAATATCAATACTTTTACCTCCCTATTTGTTTTATTAATATCTAGTTATATTAAGAAAAACTGTTACATTTACTAGTGCTGCAATTTGGCAACAGAACATTGCAGGTATAGAGGATCTATGTACTGCGTAAAATTCTTTATATATAAAAGAACCAATTATAGAATAGTATACTAGAATTCGTCCGTAAATTGCTAGTAATAACTAAAAATTTGAAAATTTTCAGAATGATTCCTCAATTCGCTTGCTGATTCTTTTATTTTAGAGTTCATTATTTTTTCTGTAAAAAAAGAAAGAATAAATATGGAGTATATCTTTTCTACTATAGGTTGATTTGACGTTAGATGTTAGACATAAAATTTACATTGCCTTTATATTATATTATGTGAAAATATTTTAACAAGAAATGAAACTTTCTTATATTTTGCACACTAATTTACATTAATAACAAACAATTAGTAATACTTAATTAGATCAGTATGTACATAAAATTTGTATGCCTGAACTAGGTTGACCTGCTGGACAATGACATTAGATATCTAATATTTTCCATCAATTACTGAGAACTGTTTAGTTTAACAATTTTATTGTTGAAAAAGTCTTAAAATATCCAATTTACTCTGAGATCTTAAACGAAATATTTAAATATTTCTAAAAATATTTCTTTTGACTGTTTGGGTGGATTGTCTGAAAATTGATGAAAATACTCTGACTAGTAGCAGAAAAGTAACAAGTGTTTGAAAAATTTGTCAGCCCTGTTAGGACCTGAGTAGCTCAGTGGTTAAAGCAGTCGCCTGGATCGCGAAAGTTCATGTGTTCGAGTCCCATCTCAGATTAAATCAAATCAAATCAAATCAAAATCATTTATTCAGTCTAGGCTGTTACAAGCACTTGTGAAAGTCGAGAGCTACGCCAACGGTTCGTAAATCTACGGCGGGAGACCTTGTACCGAGAAGAACCGGCAAGAAACTCGGCAAGGGCTGCTTTTTTCTCCCTGTTTTATTTCATACAGAGCGTCAAGATTGAAAAATGACTTCATTAAAATTTGAAGTCACTTTCCATTACAATATAACACAATATTAAGAGTAAAACAGTATTTTCGTCAATCCAATCACATTTGTAGCCAAAGAAGCTCACCGATTAACAATTTAATATATATGAAAAATGAGCCATATTTAACTCCAAGTAGTTTTGTCGTTTAAATATTCATTAATAGTATAATATCCTTTACTGAGTAGACAATTCTTAACATGGGTTTTAAACTTAGGTATTGGTAAATTTAAAATTTCCATAGGAATTTTGTTATAGTAGTGTACACCTTGACCCATAAATGACGATAGAACCTTCTTTAGCCTGCATGACGGCAAAACAAGTTTATCTTTGTTTCTAGTATTAAAATTGTGTACATGACTATGTTTAATATAATTGTTTATATTGTTTCTAACATAAAGTATACAATTATATATGAATTGGGAGGCCACTGTTAATATCCCAATTTCTTTGAATTTATAAATTACCTTGGGCAAGGTGGATTTTTTGAGCATTTTTCTTTGAGAATATTTTCCAATATAGCATTGTGAATGCAAAAATTACCAAATATAATAGCTCAACAATAAGTTTCCAGGAAAAACAGATTTGTGATCTGAAAAAGGGTTATAATCCAAAATTCTTTTTTGTAAAAATACAAAGCAGATGCAAAGAAAGCGTGAAAGATCTTCGCCTCTAGTCTGCAAAAAAAACCCATTTTACTTAACACAAAGTATAAGCCACGAATAAAACCACCTAGGTGATCAGTGGAATATTCGGGATGTTTTGGGGCGTCACCCACATCAACTCAAAATATATTTCACTTCACTTGTTCATCGTAACTTCCTTAGCCTTTTCATTATACGTTATTTATTTAATCTTAATTGCCTAGCGAAATGACAAATGGCGAAATTAATGCCAAAGAGGCATTCTCTACCAGTCAACCAGTAAATTTAGTACAAAACTTAAAGTGGCGATTGGTGACAATACGCTATTAATATCTCTACATAAGAACTATATCTAATCTAAATATATATAAAAATACATACAACAATAGACATACATACACATACATAAATAAATGCATATATATAAAACAAAGTACGAAACAAAATCTGTTGTCAGATCAAGAAACCTTGTTTGAAGCATGGTAGAAGTTGCGAGCTGCTGTCTTGAATGCAAATTTGTTAGGAGCACTTCGGACGTTCAAAGGCAGTGCATTCCAAAGACGGATGGTGGTTAGAGTGAAGGAATGAGATACAAAACAAGAATAATGAGAAGGTGTTTGGAGTACCAGGCTACTACTAGAACGAAGATTTTTCAGGTGAGAGGCACCGAGAACTTCAAACCGCGATTTCAAATATTCAGGTGCTCGTGGATTGAAAAGTATCTGGAAAAGTGTGCAAACAATCCTTAATCACCTACGCTCCCTAATAGGAAGCCACTCAAGATGTTGACGAAAATTGGATATGTGGTCATATTTGCGCAGACCGAAAACAAAACGAATTGTATTGTTCAGAAGACGATCCAATCTTTTGAAATTCCAATCTATTGATATCTGAAGTACAAACATGAGTTTAGTCGAAAAGGGGATGTACAAGAGCTTGGACGAGAGCAGACTTAGTACGGGGAGGAAGAAAGTTCTTAAGTCGATAAAGCGAGCTGAGGGTGCGATAGATTTTACTGCAGACTTTATTGCAAATCGCACTATGACTGCTGTTCCATCTCTCTTTTCAAAAGGCTTTTACGCAATTTGACAAAAGTAGAATGGGACAGCCGTTATAGGAGCGAGAGCACCGCGGCCACGACGAAGGCCCACTTCCCGAGTGAGGAAAAGGCCTTCGGCGTCGTAACAAAGATAAAGATGGATTAATGGGCTGCATAACTGTTAACGGGGCATGGAGTGTTTCGATCTTACCTACATGACTTTAAATGTAGGTATATCCAATTTTGCGTGTGCGATCCAGAGGAGAGACAGGACGTCTTTCTCATCCTATTAGAATGCCCTATCCAAAACAAGAAAAGAACATCGTAAGATAACGCAACAGAAACTGTTATATTAGTATGTAAGAGCAACCCAATTTGTATAAATAACAAACAGATTGTAATTAGATATATATATAAATAAATATAGATATTAAAATAATCATTAACACAAACATAAAATAGTATGCAATGTACAAAATAGACTAAGAAACAAATTGTAAAAAAGAAAATAAGAAACCAGAAAAACAAGGGAAAAATGTCAGACATGGTATTAAATACCTTCATATATAAAACAAAAAAAAAAAGCATAAAAAAGCACATAGCAGAAAAGATGACCTGCTAAGTAGTAGGGAAACCTGATTTATATAAAAAAACCAATAGATTAACTGTCAAGGATCACAATTGGGTTATTAATTTTAGATATAGCAAATATCCGCGATTTAAAAATCAAATTACTTTGATGTTCAACTTCTAAGACTACAACATCAACAGTTATACCAAAAGCTATATTTATTTATGGCACAACAGCAGCTATACATGTATGACACATCTTTCCACTGTGTTTGTGACAGGGGAAGCCAACAATGTCGAGGCTGTGTTCTTTAGCCTTCAGTCTAAGGTCATCGTTGGAGATGTGTCGCAAAATTGGTGGAGTCAATATCTCACACTCGTTCCAAAATATTATATTAATGTAATATTTTGCACAGAAGTTAAGCTTTGGTGTTTTAAATACCCTGCGAGAGTTACTCTTTTCTGCTTCTCTGGCCTTTCTCTCTGTCTCGAAAGTTCTAGAATGTGATCTGTATCGTCGAATAACATGGCATTAAACAGGCTTTCTGGGTGCACAAAAAAAACGTTTCTTTCGATCACTGAATTTACAATAGATCTCTGACTATCAGGCAAAATTCGAGGGTGCACAATCATTGAAAAAAATATGCTTGGCTCCATCTTTAAAGGATGAGTTTTGTTTGATGAGAAACCAAACAGGGGCGTACCACGACGTACCAAACACGTAGTTCACAAGTAGCTGCAAATTATCTGACGGCGAAATAATACTTACATAAAATCTAAGTATGCTTAGATTGGTAGCAGTAAGCCATCTCGAATGCGCCATCTTTCCAGGTTGACGGTTCGTTATCTTGGGGGAACAGGAACCAGTCATCACAGCATGACACATTTCGTAAAAATACTTTTGATCCGTACTTAGTTCCTTCATAATATTATCAGATGATTCGGGTGCATTGCCAGCCACTGCATAAAAAGACATTAGAGGTACCCAGAGACATGAATCAATGGTGAAACGGTAATTCATTTGTGTGAAGCATACAAACACACCATTGCATCGGTATTTTTAAATAGTTTTCCAGGCATTGAAGGACACCTCCCTTCCAACCTGAATTAGTAGCAGTACCATCGTAACCCACACAGATCAAGTTCAACCCAAGGATTGAACTTGGAAGAGGTGAGGTGAGGTGATCCTGGAAGAGGTCAGAAAAGATATGATAGAATCGGCTATCCCTTCGGCAGTCATACGACTTGGCGTCGTAGGACCGAAATAAATAGATCCCGGCTTTGTGAGAACTGAAATGTGCTCTTGCAAGACTTCTCTGCGGTGGTACCGATCGCCTATTTTATCTTTTATGAGTGTTTTGTCCTTTCGTCCATCGAAGTATATACTTTTTACTAAAAAAGCATCAATATCTTTCCTGACCTAAGTCCGTGCTTTAGAAACAGCTCAATGAATTTTATTCTTATCAATAACAAGGCTTAGATCTTTGGAAGATACCAACCCTACATCAGCTAAAACATGCGTGCTCTAACCGCTTCAAATTTCCTTGTCTGTAATGTTTTTTCAACAATCTTGTCATTTCTTTTGTGTTTATTGCCATTATTCTATCGCTTTTTGGTCCAGTAAAAAGTCTCTTTCAGAGATAAAAACTTTCTTTGGTTTTATGCAGGAACAAATGTCAAATGGAGTGCACTTACAAGCAGCAATATCGTAGAGCTTCTTCGACGACTCTAAAAACACTTCACTTTGCTTTCGCAGCTATCATTTCTTTTATATTTTAGGATATCTTATCACTAACAGGTATTTGTTGAAATATGATTTCAGCGGTTGGATAACGCGTACATTGTAAGTGGTGGAAATCGAGGCTTTGGTCCAAATCACATAAAGTTTTTTAGAAACAATTAAAAAGACTTCTGAATTGGAAGGATCTTTCCCATTCTTCTATTATTTCAGTTCATTTTTAGTAAACAAAATGAATTTGATAACGTCACTTGTCACTGGTGACTGGCTATCATTAAAGTTCTTTATGAAATCCTAAAACAGCACATAAGTAGTCTCACTTCGTCTTGAACCCATTATCAAAATGTAAGACAAACACGTATTTTATCACTAGAAAGTACGGAGCGATACTTTACAGCAATGAAACTGCAATGGAAGTGGATTAGAAGTGGAGAATTAGAAAAAAAAAACAAGTCGAAACACGAAACTGAAAACATCTTGTCGTTACCTGCAAATCGTAGTTTAGGGCTTTACTATCAATAAAATAAAAAAATATAGGATTAATGTATATAAAGTAGTATATGCGACTTTGACTGGACTTTGACTGTTAATTAAATTATATTGTTTTTTTAAAAGTGCCGACAGAGCCCTCAAACATCTTTTTAAATTATTTTTATGCTTATCTTCAATTTTTTTGTCTATAGGTATAAAATGATTTATACTTTAATATATTCAAAAATTTTAATTTGAAATGTTATGTTGAAAATATGTACTCAAATACTAATTGTTATCATTATATAAGATAATCCTTATAAATAATATTAGATAGATTTTATTACAATTACGAAACCAATCAAATAGTTGCTATGATATTATACAGTACTGGCGTGGCCATGTTAAGGTGCAGTGTAATAATTACGATGTAAAAAGACATTTTTACTGATTATAGTATATTTTTCAGGTGGTCACGGTACAATGATTGGGGTTATAAACTCATTTGTCCATATAGTTATGTATTCTTATTATTTGATGACCGTGGTAGTACCGAGCACCAAGAATTCAATATGGATAAAGAAACACATCACGCAACTACAGATAGTAAGTTACTTATTACTTCGGCCGGTGCATATCTGACAGATACGTCATGTCTCGTCAGTTAACGTCAGAACTGACAATATATGAAATCAAATTCAACTCACTCGACATATCGCATACTTAGATCTAAACTGAGACAACTCAAAAATTTGAGTGAGTTTTGACTACAATATTCAAATACTCGGTGATCATATGCATGTATCCTACATAACAGATTCAATAAAGGTTCGGAGATGAGCCGCTAGATAACTTTAGCTTTCTTTTGTTGAATCAACAGTGGTCGCGCTCCTGCCACGTAAACAAATGTATTGTCAGACCTCCACATTAGTTTTTTGAGTTGTCTTAGTTTAGATCTAGACGTGCGATATGTATGACCCGACTTGTATTAGCGCATACTCCGGGAGACGCTTGGCAGATTAATTTGCATCGGCCCTAATTGTTTTATGTAAAGTTGTTTATTATACCTCCGTAGCCTAGTGGTTTGCATGCCGGCATCAAGGTGTCACCATCTCTGAGTTTCCGGGTTCGATCCCCGGTTGGGTCAATGTAGAAAATGAACTTTTCTATATTGTCTCGGGTCTGGGTGTTGTGGTACCTTCGTTCTCTGAGATACTCCATAACACGGGGGCTGATGTTGTTTAATATTTATTTATTTATAATGCGTTTATGATGTAGGAATATGAGATAGTAGTACACAATTCCAAAAATGATTGTGTCATACAAACCCTAAACTAAATAATGGACTAAAAAAAATATTCTGCTGATATTCTAGGGTTTCGATAGTACACAATGACAATTGAACTATAATATATTTTGTTTTGTTTTGTAAAGTGCACTTAAATTTAAAAATGTTTTTAAAGATAATAAAATGACTATTATTTTAATAATTAAATTATCCTTCGATTTTCAGTTGCAATTTTTCCTGTGCGTGGTACACATGGGATGCATCGTCTTCATACCTGACTGCGCTTTCCCTAGATGGACTGCAGCCTTATTTCTACCACAGGACCTGTTCATGCTGATGCTGTTCATAGATTTCTACGTAAAAACTTACATCAAGAAGAAACCGAAAGAAGAAACAGTGAAAAACACAAAAGATTTAGCGTACGAAATCGAAACAGAATCAAATCAAAACGGAACAGTAGATATGAAACAATTTGATATTAATAATAATTCTAATAAAGAACATACAAATTAATGTTACATACACGTGTGTTATATTAGTTAAATTAATTTCATTAGACAATGTTTTGGTGACTTGTTATCACAATTTTTGAATCTGAATTTTGTATGTCTGTCTGTTTTTGATTACTTATGAAAGAAAACAAAAAAAAATTAAAGTTAAGTTAAATGTATCTGATGTAAAATAATAAACGTTAATTTGTTTATGGTTATCACATTTATTTATGAAAAATAATAAAATAAATCATGTTACTATCGCATTACATTGCTCATATCCAGGTAAGTAGCTAAAGCCTTCGTATAATGAAGTATCTGAAAGTACATATACTTAGTTTGGCCATATATACTGATAGAATTAAAAATAAACTAAATATTACTTTTGAATTTCGAATCTGTCGTTTTTATCAATGCTTTTTATGTGATTTTCCATTGTCTTTTCTTATTTTCGCGCCAATATATTATAAAATATATCGTGATATTAAAATGGAATGGAGTGATGAAGTGAACTGTTATTACATTACATAAAGTAGGAATGGAGCAAAACACAATTTTCGATACCCTCCATATGTTTGGTTTTAGTCAAATATTTGTATACCTGGATAATGATACGTATACAATGTAACCTCCTCTGTTTGTGATAGAAAGAGATCTGGCCGTCCATGTAGTGTTAATTCGAAAAAGACGATCAAAGCAGTAAGGGTAATCCTAACCGAAAGCAAAAAAAAATTTCTCGATAAAAAAAATTTAGGGATGAAAATAGCACCTAAAAACATGTCGCGTGTTTGAAAGGATGACTTGGGACTTACAGTCTATAAGAGATGCACTGGTCACTTTTTAACAGATAATTTAATAAAGAAGAAGTAACAGCCATATTTCTGTGAAAAAGGCATACCATTCTAACGACACCATTTTCATTTACGAAAAATGGTCCTTTCAATAAGACTCTGATTTTCGTACTCAGCTCAAGTGGTTGTCAATTCGTCTTCGTCGGAATGCGCATATCGTTTCCCTGCTTTTATTCTGTTCAATGCTTTCTCTCCAACTTACCTTAAGGAACGCTTCAAGTTCCTTCGCGATTCGCACTCTCGCGCTTTGAGATCATCAGTCTAACTTGCGGTTGCCTGGAAGAAACTGCTTTTTAGCGATAAGGCAGCCGATTGTACCAGGAAATTGTATCGATTATCATTTTATTTTATTATGGTGTACAATAAAATATTCATTAATTCATACATCCACCCATCCATCCATCCATCCATCCATTCATTCGTTCATTAGTTCATGTATTCATTCGAACATTCGTTCACACGTTCATTTGTTCACTCGTTCATTCGTTCATTCGTTCGTTCGTTCATTCGTGCATTTGTTCATTCATTCATTCAAGTCGTAAAGCTCGTACCACTCAATCTTGGTTAGAAACGAACGTTCCGGACTTCATCAGAGCTTAAGACTGGCCGTCATCTAGTGCAGATCTTAATCTGGATTATAATTTATGATCAATTTTATAGAGTACGGCTTGCTCTTAGTTCGTTTACGCCATGATAATTTGGAGTCCCTAAAACAATTCATACGATTGGCAATTAAAAAATGTTCCTATGGAAAGAGTGCGTGCGCCTATTGATAACAAGCCTCACTTCGAATAATAACACACTATAATAGTAATAAATGTTACGTTCAATAAATAAAAAAAATATTTTCTATGTAACAATATTTATGGCAAGATTATGTAAGAGACTAAGAAAAGTTAATTTTCTGTATTAAGCTGACTGGGAATTGAACCCAATGTGATATACGTTATGTTTTTCTATCTAAAACTTGGTTTAGGCCATGAGTACTGTTTGGAATAAAGTGCATCGGTTCTGTATTTCTAGAAAATCTGCATGTAAATTGATTAATGTTTATTATTTTTGATAAAATTCCGATACACAATGCTATTATTAAAATATTTCGAAAATACAAAAAAATCGGGAATTATCTGTTATCAAATTACGACAGATAATCATATGTATTTTGTTTCTTAATATCACTAGCCTGTTAATGTTCTGCTACCTGCCTGCTGGGACACAGACCTTCGTTAAGCAAGGAATCAAATTGGAAGAGTGGGGCTCAGAACCCACAAAGTGGGCTCAGTGTGGATTGGTGGGTGGTATCGATCAACCACGGAGGAGCTTAAAATAATACGTATTTGGTACCTATGACCAGTCGATCAGTCTTAACTTCCGCATTGCAAACGAAATGAGTTAACTACTACCAAGCGTTATCTAATTATTTGATGAAATTAAAGTTACTAAGTGGTCGCCAAATTGCCGAAATTCGACTTTATATTTTAAAAATGGTAAAGGTATTATTGTCAAAGATTACGATAATACCTATTTATGTTTGTTTGACATTCTGTATCACTAAATAGTATAAAACAAAGTCGCTTTCTCTGTGCCTTTATCCCTATGTATGCTTAAATCTTTAAGTCAAAGTCAAAGTCAAAATAATCTTTATTCAAATAGACTTCTTAAAAGTACTTTTGAATCGTCCAACATTTTTTCCCTACCACTCGTTCAGGACGTCTTTTGGCTGATAAGAAGAACGAGCAAGAAACTCACCAGCTCTAATATGAGTAATGACATTTACAAAAACCATGTCATTACCAGATCAATACATTATAAACAGAGATAAAAAAACTATGGTCTTATAATAATAACATAATCATTTAATAATAATGGAAACAAGATAATGAGTTTAAAAGTAATCACCTATCCAGTTGCTGGATCATCTCAAGTCCAAGCGTTCTTATCTGTTACATAATCGGATACCTTATAATAAGCTTTTTTAATAAGTATTTTTTTAATAGTAGATTTAAACTGCATGATATCTAATTGTTGTATTTTGCTTGGGACCTTATTGTAGAAGCGCACACAAAGACCCTTGAAAGAGTTATTAACTTTTGGCAGTCTAGTGACAGGCACCGTTAATTTATTTTTATTTCTTGTATTAAAATTGTGTACATCACTTTTAATAGAAAACAAACTAATATTTTTACGAACGTACATTAAGTTCTCGTATATGTATTGAGAAGCAACCGTCATAATGTCTACGCAACAGATTTTGATGTGGTTTTTTTTAATAGATAGGGTAATGAATCACACATCAAAAGAAGGTTTTTATGTATAATACAAGACTACGTGGGCGAAGCCGCTGGTGGAAAGTTAGTTATACACATAATCTTTCATCATTGATTTTTTTTAATAAAAATTGAATTTGGATTTGGTTTGCTTAACTTACCTTTAATGATTTTATAACAAATGAATAGACTAAAACAGCAGAAAAGATGATGGTAAAACATCTATACAGCAGACAAAGGTCATATCATTGAACCCGGTAGACATCCGTGGACTGTCGACATTGGCATATTGGCATACTAAAATGTAGATCGTTTAACTCGAACGAAATAACCCTTTAAATAAGACTTATTCTATTGTTTCAGCCAGTAAAATAAATATAATGTGAACGTCTAACATCATACAAATTATGACTGAAGACCAAATTTGAGCATAAACATTGTTTTTTTTTTGTTTGTAGAACATGTCGTTTGTTGGCTAAATATGGTTTACAAAAACTTGTAAGGATGAATAGAGATAAATGAATATGTAGTTCCGTTAGGTAAAGAACTTATTTATGCTGATGAAAAGAAAGAAGCAAGTATTGATTGTTTGTTTGCATGGATTAGGCTACAAATCTCACATTTTATTAATTATACTTTCAAAAACTTATGTATTTTGTTAAATACCCATGCATTGCTGGAGCCGGTCGGTAGTTGACAATATATATTTAAACACTTAACATTATTAAACTGACTACAAAAAGTAGAAGGTTATTACGGCAAAAATATGTTGCTTCATTTAATTAGTAGCATTACTTATTTTATTTATTTTTAACAACACCAATTTTTTACTAATACTTAAACCTAGTAGTGCACAAAAAATACTAACCCTAATCAACGCAAAAATTCAGATCCATAATTGTTATATAATTGTCATACCATGGCACAGCCATGCTAAGAACGGCTCAAGCACGTCAGCTAAAATACAAACGCTCTAATTACAGCACGCTCCGGTGTTGATCGGTGATGGAACGGTCTATTGAGTATTGTTTCATATTTACTAATGCAAATAATATTTTTTTGCTTACCTCGTTGCCATACACTCATATTATATAGTTAACAACAGCTTTGATACTAATATGGTTAAGTCCACCATTATATTCGAGTATCTTAGAAAAAACCTGTCTGTATCATCGTTCATAATGTGATTATAGTATTATGTCTGATGGTGGTGTACAATTGATATTCTACCTCTAGTAGCGCATGGTGTGTATTATAATAGGTTAATGCATATTATATGTCGATAAAATTGCCTAAGAGTACGTTTTAAAAATGTGCAAGAGATTTCTAAAGCTTGATATTTCAGTATGTTGAAGTACTAAGAGTATACACCACTCAGTACCTAGTGCGGAGATCGCCTTAATTAACAGAATTTCAAAAAATATAGAATAAAAAACTTTAACTTATTTCATTTCTTATGTCAAGTAAACCTACCTACTAACAAGCAAATCTATTTCAAAGTCATACCTGTCCTAAGTTTATATTGCCCACCAATCAAACCAATAATTGAACTCTGAATAACCACCTGCTTTAATACGAGCACCACCTTTTCCAACGAACAATCACATGTCACATTTCCACAATGGATTTTCAACCAAACATTCAAATTGTTAAGGTTCAAATTCGATTATAGAATCATAACAGATGAGGATAACCTGAAGAAGTATTATATAGAAAAGCTCCCTATTATCTAGATATACAATTAGAGCATAATAATACGACACAATCCATTAAACATTTATCACCGCAAAGCATTTCTGCAATATAGGGCGACAGCCGTCTTGAAGAACTAAGCTTACATCGCGTGCTTGCTTCGTTTACGGGTACCGGTCGATAGCACTGCAGTGGTAGGCTATATCCCGAGA